TTTTTTTTTTTTTTTTAAGTTACCAGGGATCAAACTCAGTACTGTTGTGCTTGCAAGGCAGGCGGCAGAACCACTGAGCTAAATCCCCAGCTCACTGAGCTAAATCCCCGGCTGGCTGTACCTTTTACTTAACTAATTTCCTAGACATTTAGATGTCCAGCTTTTCCTGTTATGTAATGAAAAATGTGATGAGCACAGTGGCACATGTGTGTAATCCCAGCCTCATGGGAGTCTAAGGCAGGATTGCTAAGTTTGAGGCAAGCCTGGGTAACATAGCAAGACCTTGTCTCAAAATAAAATTTAAAGGGGCTGGTAACATAGCTTAGTGCAAAAGTCCTGGTTTCAATCTCCAGAAAAAGAAGGGAAGAAGCTATAATAACAATTTTAGCTGGGCATTTAGCTCAGTGGTTCTGCTGCCTGCTTTGCAAGCACAAGGTCCCGAGTTCGATCTCCCGTACCAAAAAAACCAAAAAACATATATATAAACACACATACATATATTGCAGTTTTAGCTTACTATTTGTACCCAGATTGGTTCTCCTAAGATATATGCCTAGAATTAATAAGTAATATGTGGGGAGATATTTTGAGACTATATAAATATCCTACATCAAATTCATTAGTTTAAGCTTTCACCACCCCTTCTGCATTTATTAGTTGGCTTTCTGTCATAAGGAAAACCGTCTCTTCCTCCTTCCTCTCTACTTTCTCTCCCTCTTTTTTTTTTGGTATCAGGGATCAAATTTAGGACCTTGTGCTTGCAAGGCAGGTGGTGGCGCCACTGAGCTAAATCCCCGGCCCTTTTCTTCACCTCCTTTTTTGAGAGGTTGCTGGGGATCAAACTTAGGGTCTCATGTGTGCTAGGCAAGGGCTGTACCACTGAACTGTACCCCCAAGCCCTTTTATTTATATCAGTATCAACTTGGGGATATTTTTTCTTTTGGTTCAGGGGATCAAACTCAGGACCTTGCGCTTGCAGGGCAGGCACGGTGCCACTGAGCTAAATCCCCAGATTTTATTCCACTCATTTAGTTTCTTCTTGGGGGTGATGAAAATGTTCTGTAACACATTATGATGTGATATAACTAAATGTACTGAAAACTATTCAGTTGGATACTTTAAATAGGTGAGTTGTAATAATATATGACATATATCTCAATAAAGCTGTTAAAACATCAGCAACAATTGTTCTGCTGTGATGACCAGGAGAAAGTTCGTGGTCAGTTATTATGTTTTCTTGGACACACACACCATTCCTCCCTTTCCAGTCCCCTTCACACCCCAAATCCCTGCATTCTCAGCTCCCATGGGTTTAAATGGCTGCGGAACTCCTTTGAGCCTAACGGGCTTTGCAACTCTGGTCTGGAGCCAGTTCATTCCAGGTTATATGAGGACTTTCCTTTTAGTATGAAGTAATCGGTCTCGTCCCACCATACTTGCTTTATGTCCCTGTCCCCATCTGATGAGGACACTGGGATTCCTCATATTTTGTAGAAAGCCAGGAAGATTCTTGCCGGCTGCTTTGCAAAAGGGCTGAGTTGCCAGAGATGCTGCTTTTGTTTATTTCCTGGCTGTCAGGCTGCCTGACTTGGTGTCCAGACAGCAGTGTGGAATACCAGGCAAAGCTGTGAGCAGGCACTTTATCCTCGTCCCCACTTGAGTGCTCTCAGACTTGGCTGTGTACTTTGCCAGTTTGCAGACACAGAATATCAAAACCGCTACTCCCCAAATGCACACTTTCCCCTCTTCTTCTGTGCTTTAGCTTGAACCGTGAGTAAGCACACACCTGAGTGGGCGCCTTCACGAGGAGAGCTCCCCAGGTCAGCCGCTTCTCTTTGTCGCTCACGTTTATGTCCACTGAAGGAGGAACTAGTCGGTCATCTCATAACTGGAAAAGGCCGTCCCTTAGGGAGTGTCATCACATTGGTGCCTGACCCTGCATAACCAGACCTGGGCCTGAAAGGACCTGGATCTTCAGGCAAACTAACGTGGCTTTCTTTTTTGTCTTGGCAGCACCCTTACATTTACCGGGTTACTTTTGCCACAGCCAATGAATCCTCTGCATTGCTAATCAGGATGTTTAACGAAAAAGGAACTTTGAAGGATCTGATCTACAAGGTATTTATGGTGCAAGTTCACGATCATTACGTTCTCAAGTCCCTTTAGAACCTGTTACTGATGCTTAATACCTAAGCTTCCAAATGCAAGACCTCAAGGGTTGTATTTTAGTTTCGGATCTTAGTCAGAAAGAGTCGACCTAGTTTGGTTAAGTAGCAGTCTTTACACTACCTGAGGGAGAGGCAAGACATTTGGTGCCCGGGTCCACTCCATTTCAGACTGCTGTCTTGGGTCAGTTTTAAAGTTTGCGTCTTACACATGTTAGCAACATCGTACTGAAGAGCTCTGACAATGTGCAAGTTTGGGAACTGCTAAGGCAAGACTGGGCGCATCCTGGACCCCAGCAGGGGCCAGAACTCAGGTCAGCCTCTGACAGCTGCTTGGCTGTTACACTTTGTGCCCCACGTCCGTGCCCTGGCCGTCTTGGCTTCTCTCTTGCCTGTCTAGGAAGCAGGGTGCACAGCGATTCCTCTGCCACTTCCCTGTGTGTTTCTTGTTCTTCTCCAAAGGCAAAACCAAAGGACCCATTCCTAAAGAAGTACTGTAACCCTAAGAAGATCCAGGGCCTTGAACTCCATCAAATAAAAACATATGGACGGCAGATATTAGAGGTAAGAAGTCCTTGGCTTTTGTGTAAGTCTCAGTGAACTTTCATCCAAAGTGACATTATCCTCATGGAAAAGTTCTCAGCTAATATCCCAAATCACTGACATTGTCTGGTTGTTTATAAACAGATAGTAAACACATTCTACCCCCACAGGCAAATATTTGATGTGAAGGTGACGATAACTTAGAGCTATAAAAATTCCAAGAGCTTTAGCTGTTGGAATTTCTGTCTGATTTCTAAGAATTTTGCTGAGCAGACAACTTCTGCGTTCTCTTCTTTGATCCGTATCTCTGTGCCAAGAGGTTTTTTTATTGTTTTATCGACATGTACCCCTGCATCTCCCTCGCAGAAGTGCGACCAGCAGTGAGGCCTTTGCCCACCGGGGCGGGAGACGAAGCTCGGTATTAGCGTGTGTTCTTCACATCAGAAGGCCTTGAGTGTGATCCCTAGCACCGAAAAAGAAAGAAAGAAAGAAAAGAAAAGCCTTTCCCATGTCACTCTAGATTACGTTCTCCAAGCTTCTTGGACTGTGCAGTAAAAATATTTACGCACAGCACTCCCTCCTGGTACATGTATTTAACTGTAAATGACATACATGCACTGCTGCCAGTATATTTTTGAATGTAAGTTAAGAGAAAATACGATTTTTAAAACTAGAAAGAGCAGTTGTGTTCTTTGCTCTCGGTCCTCAGTGTTTTGCCCTTGGCACCTCCTCCTGCCGCAGCTCCTCCAGGTCTCTGCAGGGATGTGCAGGCATCTCTGTTCCCGGGAGCCGCTGTTTATTTAAGTGGCAGCCGAAAAGTCACTTCTTTTTGTGGAAGACTGCTGTGTGTTTCTATTAATAAACAGATTAATTTGAGCAAAGATGGGCCTCGGGCTTTTTTCAGCTCAGCCCCCTTGTAGCTGGCGGAGATGCCGGTGTGCCAGCTTGTTCTTTGGTGCAGGAGGACCTGGCCTGGCTGAGAGCGCTGGGCACTGGGATCCGGAGGTGCTTACAGCAGAACCTTTGGTATCAAAGCTGTTCTCTCCAGGGAGCTTGGTCCTGGGAAGATTCAGCATCTCCCTTTCCCAAAGAAGGAGCAGAGGTGGAGTTTCTCTTCAGTAGTCTCCCCAGTGGCCTGTTTGATTTTGTTTCAAAACATACTGAGTTTTTTTTTCTTTAGGTTCTTATTATTTCTTTTGATTTCTTTTGGGTGCTGAGGATGGAACCCTAGCTTCCTACTGAAGGATTTAAGCCAAGGCCTCCTGCATCTTAAGCACACTGTACCCCCAAGTGCACCCCAGCGGTTCTGTCCTCTGAGTGAGGCGGGGTGTGTAACCTGTATGTGTTTGTTAATAGGTGCTAAAGTTTCTACACGACAAGGGGTTTCCTTACGGGCATCTTCATGCCTCTAATGTGATGCTTGATGGGGACACTTGCCGGCTGCTGGACCTTGAGAATTCCTTATTGGGCCTTCCTTCATTCTACCGACCCTACTTCACACAATTCAGGAAAATCAATGTAAGCTATCAAGTAGCTAAGCAGTAGGTTCATGTTTAAGTGTATCGCAAGCTAAGTTGAAATGGCAGATGGGGCAAGGAAGGGAGTAGAGTGATTGACTGCAAAGCTGTAGCGGGTAGGACCACACCTTTTGGTTCAAAGGGTATCTATCTTGTGAGCTTTTTTCTTCCTTCCTTCCTCTCTCTCCCTTCTCTCTCTCTTCTTTCTTTCTTTCTTCCTTCCTCTCTCTCTCTCTCTCTCTCTCTCTCTCTCTCTCTCTCTCTCTCTCTCTCTCTCTCTGTCTCTCTTTCTTTCTTTCTTTCCTTTTTCTGAGACAATGTCCTGCTGCATAGCTCAGGCTGGCCTTGAACTCATTATGTAGCCTGGGCTGGCCTTGAACTCACAGCGATCCTTCTGCCTCTGCCTCCTCCATGTTGAAATTATAGTCCTGCACCACTATGCCCACCTCTTGAGACTTCACAAAAGGATTTGAGCTTCATTTTGGAGTGGGACTGCCCCAGGGCCTTGGTTCTCAATGGAAGCCTGGGGCAGGAGCCTGGGAGCCACAAAGTCAAAGTGAAGGATGAACACTGTGCTGCTCTCTTTCTCTCACAGACGCTGGAAAGCGTGGACATCCACTGCTTTGGTCACTTACTATACGAGATGACTTATGGACGGCCACCTGACTCGGTGCCCGTGGACTCCTTTCCTCCCGCACCGTCCCTGGCTGTGGGTCAGTATGTGGTTTGGGCGGGTCTTCTGGGTCCTGGTAGTCTGCAGAGCTGCTCTCCCCCTTTCCAGAGTCCTGAAAAGGCCCAGAGGAAGTTGCCATCCTCCACAGCCGGAAACATATGCCAAATGGCTTGTCTCTCAGGCTGAGACCCTTAAGGAGCTTTCTGTAAAGTACCCTAGAATTTGGAAGCAAATTGCTGTAAAGAGTCTTAATCAGATGCAGAAGCCAGGGCTGAGCAACTTGAAGCCCATCTTGAGGACTTGGGCAGGTGTGAGGAGTCAGCCCACAGGTGGCAGGTGACCGGAAAGGGACACGAGAGCCACGAACTGGGAGCCTGATGGAGCTCAGACTCCCAGACGAATTGGATCCTGGAGCTCTTCCAGCATACTGAGGACGGGCGGGAAGCACCTTCCGCAGGGACTGGGAAGGGGTCCTCCCACCCTCCCGCAGCCAGCTCAGAACTCGGGGTGGGCAGAGAAAGACGGCCAGGTAAGCGCTCAGGCCACCGTGTGACTGAGCAGTGTGCCATGCTAGGAGAGTCTGGCATCCACCACAGCTGGCCTCGTGTACTGGTTTTGATTAAAGACAGGCAAGCAGCAAAGTTCAGAATTTTGCTTCTGGATAGTGTTTACTTTGCTTTTATGAGAACAAACACTTGTATGAATGGTATCTTGACCTGTTCCTCTGATTAGTGCTGAGGTACACTTGGCTTTCTGTCCGCATGGCTTCTGAGGCCTTTCTTCCGAGTCACCGGTGACTCCAGTGTTGCCGGCATCCACTCCCCCGTATGCCATCTGTCTGAGTGTGAAGAGTTTGACACTGTTCTAATCAGGCTGCAGACAGTGGTTGCAAAGCTGTGTCGAACTTTTCATCACCCGGTGGATTCACCAGCAGTGTTCTGTGGGACTAAAATGTGTATCTGTTCATTTCAAGTGGCCGTGTTGGAGTCTACGCTGTCTTGTGAAGCCTGTAAAAATGGCATGCCTACCGCCTCCCGGCTCTTACAGATGCCGTAAGTCACTCATATGCCTTCATTGTAATCTTAATAACTGTTGGACCCCGGGCCACTGTGCGCAGGGCCTGGTCCTCAGCTGTGGTCCCCGCAGAGTTGAAGTGACCTGCTTCCAGATGGTCCCTTACAGCACGGTATCCTGCCTGTTTCCTTGTGACCTCTCCTCTCCTAGTCTGGCTGCTCTCCTTGACCATCTGCCTCCTTTTCTCGTGTGTCTCTCCTCGGTCAGCGTCAGCTGTGTGAGTTCATGTGGCACCCAGCTTAGCAAATGCCAAAGAAGCGTCCCTCGGGCGCCTCGCTCCCGAGCCTATCCCAGCGCGCAGATGGCCGCCAGCTTCGCACAGTTCACAAGTCACAGGGCCTTCAGGGTCCGCCCTCCTGGGGAAGGGTGTGTTTCTGGGCTGCTGTGCTTTTGTTTGGTCATTTTCTCCCTGGGTATAATTTATTAAACACCTAGCTGAACCTGGGATTGTGCTGCAGACTTCGCACTCAGAAGCCATTCCTTAAAATTCGGTGAGTAGTAGAGAAGAGTTTCCTGACCCTGGCGCTTTGTTGTCTGTACCAGATTGTCAGCTAACAAATGCACTCGGGAAACAGTAAGGGACAAACGAGGCAAGGGAAAGCTTGTATGTGCAGCTGGAGTTCAGAGGAGGCAGATTCCTTATTCTTTCTACAAGTCGTTTTGTTTCGTTTTGTTTTTCGGTACTGGCGATTGAACCCAGGAGGGCTGTACCACCAACCTACTTCCCAGCCCTTTTTAATTTTGAGACAGAGTCTTGCTAAGTGGCTCAGGTTAGCCTTGAACTTGGATTTTTCTACCCTTCTTGCAGTTCTCTTCATTCTCCTATTCTAATCCAAATACTTTTTTCTTTGTCTGAGTCTTTCTACCCTGTGGGCTTCCACCTGGAGAAGAGCAGGGGGAGAGGTGTGACTTGTGTGCGATTAAAATGTGTTGTCTGAAGTAATTGGAGGTGTGGCAGAGGGCTAGGACTCTGGGGAGCATTCTGGAGTAAAGGTGACCTTGTCATTTCTGCTCAGTTGAATTGCTTGACCTCACAAAGGGGTAACATTCAAGGGAAGTCTCACGGCTACATGGGCGTCATCTGAGCAACCGTTCTAGTCAGCGAGTTCCGCGTGCTGCTGTTTTTCCAGCATGGGGAGAGCGGTGCTGCGGTCAGACCCAAGGCCTCATGCATGCTAGGCAAGCTCTCCTCCACTGAGCTATGCCTTCAGCCCGTGCTCTTGTTTTTAATAGCATACTTTTGAAGAGAGAATTTATGTATTCCCCAAAGCTGCTATTTTTTTAAATGAAGCATGAGAAACATTGGAAGCAAAATATTTTTCTCTTAGATTCCGATCAGAGTCATTCCTTTCTACTTACTTGAACGTTTATGTTTTTTTTTTTTTTTTTTTTTTTTTTTTTTTTTTTTTTTTGTACCAGGGATCAAACTCAGGACCTTATGCTTGCGAGGCAGGTGACGGAACCAACTGAGCTAAATCCCCAGCCCTTGAACATTTATCTTTTACTGAGCTATAGAATAAATTTTATTGAGGCAAGAAAAAAGAGAAAGAACAGCTATTCTGTTTAGAAGTATCTACTACTTATATCTGCAGTATCTTTGCAAGTTGCTATGTCCAAAAATATCTTTTTTTTTTTTTTTTTTTACAAATACTATATCGTCCTACAAGGGGGAAACAACCTCCAGTGCATAGCTGTGCGGCAGTGGGGAGTTGGGAGGACCCTGAGGTCTCACTTGGTGATCTGTGACACCTTTGCCTTTCTTGAACCTCATTAAAGGTGGGCTGGTGGGGCTGAGTGTGTGCTGGGACAAGGGAGACTTCTGAGGCTCACCATGTCATAATCCGCTTGGGTCCTATTCTGAGAAGGTACCTTGTTTAATGAAGATTTTGTTGCTTGTTTTTTCTTCACAGATTATTCAGTGATGTTTCACTAACCACTTCTGAAAAGCCACAGTTCAAGGTAAAGCAAATCTTGTCATATCATTATTTTGGCTTAAACAATAAATAAGTTGGCTTTGAAAACCACCCCTCTTAAACTAAGAAAGAAAAGATATGCAATAGGGAAAATTTGGAAATAACCTAAATATTTTACAATTACAGACTAGTTTTTTGTTTTGTTTTGTTTTTTGGTACTGGGGATTGAACTTGGGTCCTTGTGCTTGTGAGACAGGTGGCGGAAACAGTGAGCTAAATCCCCAGCCCTCGAGACTAGTTTTATAATTAATAATGCATCTATTTGAAAAATATTTCATCTGATGACCTGAGATGTGTAAAGGCATTTTAGTAATATGGAAATTATCATGGTTTGGGCTAAGGTTAAAAAAAAGCAGACGTAATATGCAGCACGCAAAGCCACCATCATCTCTAGAAGAAAGTCTGGAAGGAAGTCTCCTGGGAGGCGGTGGTGGTGTCACAAGGACGATGAGACACCAGAGCGGGGCCTTGCTCTGCTCTCAGGACGCTGGCCATCGACTATAGCAGCGCATCTCAAGCATGGCGCTTGACGTTTTGGGTCAGGTCATTCTCTGCTGCAGGAGCTGGCCTGCATCCTGCAGGGGTGACGCAGTAGCCTGGGCCTCTCCCCTCAGTGCTGGCGATGCTCCCGGCCTCTCCCCACTCTGTGGACAAGGGCTGGGGGTGGCTCCATGGTGGGGTGCTGGCCTGGTGTACCCCGGGTGGTGGGTTCATCCCCAGCACTACGGAAAGCACCCAAAGCCATCAGAGTGTCCCAACTCGAGAGCCTCTGACCCCACCTCTGAGCCTCTGTGTGTAATGGGTGAGTCCCAACATCCTGCTGTCAGTGCACCACTGAGGAGAGCTTTGTGGATTCCTAGTTCTGAGCCTGGTTCTCCCAGTGTGCAGTTCATGCTGACTTGGGTGGGCATCCAAGGGGAATTTTCTCTCTCCTTTGTGTATTCCAAAAGAACACGTCACACTGTTATGAAAATAAAGTTAGAAAGGAAAAGAAATAGAACCAAGGTGGGGCTAGAGACTATATAGGTAAGAGACCCTTCTTCTCTTTTGTCTGCCAGTCAGAGGAGTGAAGACAGTTGTTTCTTTGGATCTGAGGGAACAAAAAGCTTTCTAAGTTCAAATTCATCTCTTCTTCACCGAAACTCCTTAGGAAATGTATTCATTCATCCTGTCAATAAACATGCTGATGTCAATAAAAATCCTGATGTTCCAGCCCTCAGGATTCTGGGATTAGGATTAGACTTCAATCCTCTTCTAAACTACAAATCCTCACAGCCAAAACAATGTGATTTTAGCTGTGTGTGGTGATGCACTACTGTAATCCCAGTATTTGGGAGGCTGAGGCAGGAGGATCACCCACCATGAGTTTAAGGTAAACCTGAAACTGCATAGTAAGACCCTGTTCCAAAAACCAAACCAAACCAAACAAACAAAAAAGCAATCATTTTAAAAACTAACATCAATGTCTTGTATGTTGACTTTGTGGAAAGTTGAGGTGGAGACTTTTTCCTGTGTATTACCTTTTTATACATTTTGGATTTTAAACCATTAGACTGTATTACCTACTCAGTACTTTTAAAATTTAAATTTAAAAAGAATAATAAAAAGTTTAGCATGGCCTGGGTGTCTGTTTTCCAGGCCTCCACTCTGCATGGTTTAAAAAGATAATGAATTCAGAATGCAGTTAGAATTATCACCCAACAGGAAAAAGGCCTAATCTTGTGAAGTTCAGAATGTAAATTTTTCACAGAGAAATTCTCTCTAAAGTTATAAAATATTATAATTACTTGAATCGGTATGTTCCTGTAAGCTTCGTGTGTTTTTAAAATTATACCCAAAATCACATAATGTAAAATCTACCCACTTAACTGTGCATGCGTGTGTCTGTGTGTGTATGTGTGTGATGTTTCGGGGATTAAACCCAGGGCCTTGCACATGCTAGAAAAGCCTTCTGCCACTGAGCTATCTCCCAGCCCTTTCTAAGTTTTGAAACGGTCTCACAAGTAGCCCAGGTTGACCTTGAGCCTGCCTTGATCATTCCTCAGTCTCCTGAGTGGCTGAACTGACAAGTGTGCATCACCACACGTGGCCTTCTTAACTGTTTCTGAGTGTATGGCTTAGTGGTGTACTTGCCTTCACATTGTTGTGTAGCAGACTCTGAAGGGGAGCTGTGGACCTGTAGATGACTTCCCACTTCCCCTCTCTCCGGCTCATGGGAGCCATCGTTTTATTTTCTGTTTCCATGATTTTGACCACTCTAGATACCTCAAATAAGTGGAATTACATTGTGTGTGTGTGTGTGTGTGTGTGTGTGCGTGTGTGCGTGTTATATTTGTTAACTAATTGTTCCAGGACTCAGAATCTCTAGCAGCATTATTCAGTAGAGGGTTTACTCTCTCTTTTAGATTCCCACAGACTTAAAGGAGGCATCGAGTATTTGTATTTTTGTGATTAAATTATTTCACTCAGCATTATCTACTCATGATTTATCCATGTTATGACATACAACAGAATTTGCTTCTTTTGAGAGGCTAAATAATATTCTTCTCTGCATGTTTGTGTATTTACACACAAACTATATTTTCTTTGTCTCTCTTTTTTGGCACCAGGGATCAAACTCAAGACCTTGCGCTTTCGAGGCAGGAGGAGGAAACAATGAGCTAAATCCCTGGCCCTTTATCTCTGTTATGATGGATGTTTGGCTGCTTCCACTTCTGGCTGTAAAATGAAATCTGCTGTAAAATGAGCATGAGTATGCAGATACCTTTTGGAGGTCTTACTTTCAACTCTGCTGAATGTATGGCCCGAAGTGGAATTGCTGAATTATATAGTAGATCTCTGTGTAGGATTTTAAGGCACCTCTCATTGTTTCCGCAGTGGTTGTACCGTTTCACATCCCTGCCAGCCGTGTAGTGCTCCAGTTTCTCCACGTGTGAGCAGCACTTGACGTTTTCTCTGGTGGCTGCCCTGATGTGTGTGAGCTGCTGACTCACCGTGGTTTCCATTTGCACCGCTGTAGTGATGAGAGACGCTGAGCAGCTTCCACAAGCTCTTTGGCCACCTGTGAATTTTCTTTGGGGAAATGTCTGTTTAGGCCTTCTACCCAGTTTTGAACTGGGTTACATAGCTTCTGTTGTGGAGATACAGGAGTTGCTGTGTACATTCTGGGTATTAAACCCTTCTCAAATATATGATTGGCAAATATTTGCCTTTTCATTGTTGGTAGTGTCCTTTGTTGCACAAACGTTTTAAATTTTGAGGAAATCCAATTCATCTTTTTTTTTTTCTGCTTGTTTTTATTTTTTGGTGTCATAGCCAAGAAATCATTGCCAAATCCAATGTCATGAAGTTTTTTTTTTTTTTTTTCCTGTTTTAGGAGTTTTATAGTTTTTAGTCTTACATTTAAGGCTTGAACCCACGTTGAACTAATTTTTGTGTATGGTGTAAGGCAAGGGTTCAGCCTCCGTCCTTTGCATGTAGATTTTCCCACTGCCACTTACCAGAAAGACTGTGCTTTCCCCATTGTGTGTTCTTAGCACCCTTGTCAGAGATCATGTGGCCATATTCATGAGGGTGTACCTCAGGTTCTCTGTACTGTTCCTTTGGTCTAGGCATGTCTCTATGTCAGTACCACAGTGGGTTTTTGTTTTGTTTTGTTTTTGGTACCGGGGATTGAACTCTGGTCCTTGCGTTTGCAAGGCAGGCACCAGAACCACTGAGCTAAATCCCCAGCCCAGTAGTACCTCAGTTTTGATTACTGTGGGTATGTAATAGGCTCAAATTCAGGAGGTGTGAGTCTCCCAATTTGTTTTTCTTCTTTAAGATGGTTTTGGCACTTTGAGATCCCATTTGAAATGAGTATCATGTTAATGTTTTAGTTGGATGTGTTTGTTACTAAAAATGCTAGAGGGATTGGGGTTATGAAATGTGATGGGGATAGAATTCAAGAAGATACTTTAACTGCTTTTATTTCAGAGGGCTGCTTTCTTGATAACCAGCTGTTCCTCATTGCTCTGGTCTCAAAATCTCCAGCCACTTCACTGATGTACTTTCTGTTCTTTCAGATTCCCACAAAGTTAAAAGAGGCATTGAGAATCGCCAAAGAATCTGTAGAAAAGAGACTCACCGAAGAACAGAAGCAGGTGAATAGTCATTCTTCCTTGCCCTGTGATCGTTTGGTGTCCCCGCCCTCTACCGTGGTATTCGCAGTAGCTGTCTTGACAGACTGTTCACTCTCTAAACATTCTGTGCATACTTGCGGTCAGCCAGGCTCCAGGCTAGACACTACGCCCAGAACTGAACACTCCACTGTGGCCTCAGGCAGCCCAGTCTGTGGAGAACTTGACCTGTGCACAACGGGTGGACACCTGTTTGGGCAGGGCACATCGGGAGCGGCAGTTGGGGCCTGCATGGCCCCTGCTCTACAGATGCCACGGACCACATCCTTCTCTACGAAGAAGAAGGCAGAGGGCGACTGGGGAAGTAAAAAGGTCTTCATCCCCTAGTGTGTTCTTCCAGACCCAAGCCGGAGGCAGATAGGCTTAGCAAAGAAAATTTTCTTTTCATCAAATAATTTGATTTGGCAAAACATGGTTGGAGAAAGGTTTCATTTAAAAACTGCCTTTAGTAAATGCTTACATTTGTGGTGAATTGTGGTCTCTTAAAGATTCACCAGCATCGAAGACTGACAAGAGCTCAGTCACACCATGGATCTGAGGAAGAAAGAAAAAAGAGAAAGATTTTGGCTCGGAAGGTAAGCCGGGTGTCTCTGAACTTTTCCTGTCGGCTCTTGACTACATGTAAGGAGGTCTTCCAGGCTAATGGTCCACACTTAATGACAGATTTTGTGCTGTATCTCCTTGAAAGCTGAAAGTATTTCCAGATGACTGGTTTGTAGCTTCTTAAAAAGCCACATAATATTAGCAGAGCAGCGGGCCACGTAGTGTCCTGGCTTGTTGGGCTCATTGTGGCATGACATGATTGGAGGGAATGACTGGTTTGAGAAAGTAAAGTCAGCGCTCTTGGTTTCACTCCCCTTCAGTTTTGGCTGTGGCTTTCTTCGCTGTTATGAGGTCAGTGACGACCTTGTCTAGAGCTAGTTAAACTGTATGCCTGGAAAGGTTTGAATTCTAACTCTCAGCATCATTGTGTTGATTCTTCCCTCCCCTCCCCTTCTTTTATTTTTAAAGAAGTCCAAACGATCTGCTATTGAAAATAGTGAAGAGCATTCAACAAAGTACATCAACTCTAACAATTCAGGTAACTGATTATAGATTGTAGGGGCCCACAGTCTGGAGGTCAGGATCAGGAGTCTGCAGCTGGCCCAGCAGTTCGGGTTCTGTTGGGCAAAGAGAGGCAGTGTGGTAATGAATGCAGAGAACAAAAGAATTCTGTCCCTAATGAAGGACTGTAGCAGCATCTGTGCACTCAGGGCTGCCATGCTGGGCAGGCCCCAAAGACACAGGAGCATCTGCCACGTTCGAGACACAGACCCAAGTTAAACTGCAGGGCCTCCCGGGTTTGGTAGAGCCTGGAGAAGCTGAAATGGTCTCCAGTCCTGCCCGCTGCTCTGGACCCCATGTGTGCCCCGGGAGGGTTAGGGACAGGACCGTGTGTTGGGATGTCCAGAAGGCCCTGAAGGTGTGAAGAGCGCTAGTCCTCGCTGCCGCCCCCGGCTGTCCTTCCCCCAGCTCCCTGGCCTGGGCTTTCACTGTCCCCGTGTTTACTGATCAGGGCCAGACTGAACGATCCCTGGGACCCTTCCAGTTCTTGTAGTTTATGAATGTGTGAAGTAGAGTTTGAGTCGGAGAAGACTTGGCTCTAACTGGGCAGCAGGTGCAGCCCTGAAGCACCATGGGAAATGGAGCGTGATTGGAGAGCTAGAAGGCCAAGGGACGAACGTCAGAAGCCCTGTGGTCAGTCTCATGGTTTCACTGTAAATGAGGATATTTTCTGAATTTCGTGTAAGAAACGGAGTAGAAAGTCCACAGATTGTATAGCCTCACCCTTTTCTCCTCGAGTGTGCATCCTTGTGAAATGGAATTCTGCAGAAAGCAGCGCTGTGGGGAGGTTGCGAGGCGCTCACGCTGTCCTTGGCGAGCCCCGCCCCCCAGGTTGCCGTGTGCCTGTCTCCTGTCCTGCTCTGGCCACTGTCACTTGTCGTTGCCTAGGCATGGGGTTGGGTCAGAAGGAGATACTGCAGCCAGCTCCTAAGCCATTGATTGTGCAAAATTGGCTTAAACTAGGCGAGCTGAGTGGCAGCCTGCCTGAGAAGTGGCCTGGGACAGAAGCACTAGGGTGCACTAGGGTGACAGTGAGTGCGGTTCAGTGTCCCGAGTTTCTGACCTGTATCACATTGTGACCCACACACTAGGCCACGGGCAAATTCTCAGACAACAGTGGGTTTCTGTTGGCACCAAACTCCAAGTGCCTCTCCTTAGTCCCCATGAGCGCTTCTGTTTTATCTTAGCAGGATCTGGGGCCAGCTCACCTCTCACACCGTCATCTCCGACTCCACCCTGCACAGCAGGTTAGTAACGTGGTGGCGACACAGCTCTCTCCTCTCCGCCAGCGGGAATGTAGTTCTTCCTCCTCTTGCCCCAAGCATTTCAGGGGTTGGATGGCACCAGAGAGACCAGAGGGATTGCAACTTAGCTGCGTGATCCAGGAGAGATGCAAGTGTTCACTGGAACGGACCGGTTTTAAGGCTGATAGGCACCCTTTGGTCAGGCTTGCTCTCTGCTGAAGAGCCTCACTTAGCACTCCTTGGACCAGAGCTTGTCTTCAAACAAAACAAACGCATTAGTGCCCAGGGCCCTCCCCTGCCTGAGCTTTCTCCTCAGGGAGCCCGTCCGCACTGGGTTTGTCTCGGAGCAGAACTGATGCCGCCCCAGTGCATAGTGAAATGCCCTGCCTTCTGATCTGCTGGTAACTACTCATACTTTATTCTGCTCTTCGATGCATTTAATTATCTGAATATTTCCATATCCCTAGCCTTTGTTTTGCATTTGTGAATTAAATCAGATACAGTGAGTTCCATGTGAAAAATTTAAAAGGGGGCCAGGGATATAGCTCAGCAGTGCAGTGCCTGCCTGGCAAGCACAAGGCCCTGAGTTCGAGTCCCAGTATCAACAACCAAAAAAAAATTTTTTTTTAAGTTATCTTGGGGACTAATTAGAAAAATAATCTGATTCTGTGGAATAGTCTCATAGTACCGTCATGACTGTCTTCTTTCCTTTTTGATTTAAAACCTCTTTTCTGACTCCTCTACAAGCCCAGTATAAACTCACTGGAGCAGCATATCTCCTGTACTTCTTAAAGAGACCAGATAGTCCGAATGTCTGAGGAGCTGGCACATTGGTTGTCCGTGGAGGGCTCCTGTAGCTGTTTGAAGGGAGAATTGCTGGCAGGCCTGCTCAAGACTTGATAGTAGGATCTTCATGAACGCTTACGGTGATCCCCAGGAACTACCCGAGAATTTCGCAGTTTCATTCAGCAGCTTCCAGCTGACCTTCCTAAGAAAACAATAGGCAAATGCAAGGGGCTGCTTTGAACGCCCCCTTCAGGGTGGTGGGTCTGCCCTTGCTGGCTGATGTAATTACTGATGGCTTACCGCAGAATGTTCTGGGGCAAGGGCAGTACCTGGCTCATGGAGATGATATACTTGTTCCTGTCTTTGTCAGCAGATTTTACAAGAATTTCCCTAATACTGATCAAGACAGATCTGTCTTTTGTAGAAGTGACCTATTTAGGCTGACCGGAAATTTCTGGAGCCTCACTCCCCAGTCTTTGTAAAGCCATTTTCCAGAAGACATGGCATTAGTTTTATACCATTTGGACCTACTGAGGAAATTAGAGAATTTATTTCCATAAGCCTTCCTTTAACAAGTAAGGTGTCTGCTAAGTATGCAGCCATACACGATATGTGTGTTGATTCTCATCTTTAAATGTCTTGAGGAACTTATCCATTCAGACTTTGGGAGGAATTCAGTACCTCCGCTTTGGGTGGGAACCGTCCCACATAGTGGCAAGTTTTCATGAGGTGAAGTAATTTTTGGAATATCAGAAGAAGGGTAGGGATATAGCTCAGTGGTAGAGCATTTGCCTAACACGCATGATACCGTGGGCTCAATCTTCAGCACTGGGAGGGAAAAGTATTTTTAAAAAGCACTTGAGCCAAGCACAGTGGTATAAAGCTGTAATCCCAGCTGTTCAATAGGCTGAGGCAGGAGAACCCCAAATTCAAGGGCAGCCTGGGTAATTTAGGGAGACCCTGTCTCAAAATAAAATACAAAGGCTGAAGGCTTGGAACTCAGTGGTAGAACATTGGCTTGACATGTGTGAGGCCCTGGATTCAGTCTCCAGCATATAAACTAAATTAATTAGATAAACAAGAAAGTAAATAAAACATTTGCCTAGAATGAGAGAAGAAGAACAGAATGTTCTATGATTAGAGTCAGTCTTGGAGAAGTTTCACGCGAGGGGGGTGGCAAGGGATGGGTACTGTGAATCTGAGAGCACGGCCTTGCGGGCGTCGTGTGAATTTAGAGGGAAAGCTTATCGAGGCCAAGCATGAGGACTCCAGCTGGAGTTTCCCAGCCATAGGGGCTCCTCCTCTCCCTCTCCCTTTAATGTTTTGTTGACAAGATTATCAGTTCCACCCCTAAAGACAGTACTCTGACCTCTGCGGGGCGATTCTTATAATACAGCTCATTAAAAAAGGTAATAAATATGTAGCGTTTGACTTGTAACCTAGCTGTTCAGGCCCTGTCTGAAGTACCTGCGTTGTTTATTCATTGAAGATTTTTTCATTTATGGGGAGCCTGTGGTTCGCCAGGGACTATGTCCGGCCCTAGGTTGCAGATGAGGTCCCAGCGCCCTTGGAGCCCCCTTTCTGGAGCCTCTCAGGAGCTCCAAGGTGATCTGGTGCAGGTCCATGGTTTCTCTGGGGTCTGACCGTAGCGATGTTATCTCCCCTCCACTCCCCTTAGATAAGGGCTCCTCCCCCGGAAGGCCAGTGCACAGCGAGCACCACCTTGAGCTTCGTTCTGTGCCTGGCGTCAGGCGGGCTCCAGTAGGTAGCGCCTTCATGGTGCCCTGCGTTTGGCAGGTGGTCGTGAGTCCTTGATGATGGATGTCCGCTACTTGTTCTGCCTTAAAGCCTCCGTTGGACGAAGGCAGACTCAGCCTCAGGTTGTAGCTTCTGGCTCATCAGCCCCGCGTGGACTTGCGGGACAGGAAGGCTGGCTTCGCGTTGGGCCTGTCTTTCTCACTGCCTGTCTGCACACCGCTCCTCTCGCTGTCTTGGGTTCTCCTCACCCCTCTCCTTTTCTGTCAGTTCCTTTTTCATCCCCTTCCCCTCACTCTTCCTCCCTCCCTCCCTCCTTTTCCTTCCCCTTTGATTAACTGTCCCTGTTTAGCAGTAGAATGAGGCATCCCGGAGACGTGTGTGCTCTCCAAGGGAGGGAGGACCTCCAGGGTGCATTTTGAAGGGCATGTTGTCCTTCTAAATAAATAAAAACAGTATGTAACTGGTTCAGGAACAGATGTGAAGAGGAGGGCAGCTCCTTGGTTAGTAGTATATTTGCCGTGTTTCCCTGTTCCTGAAGCTCTGAGCCACCGGCAGTACACGCGTGACTGTCCCACCAGGTGGCCCGGACCCTCATGCACGAACTGCCCGTGGTCAGCGGCACTGGCAGCAAGACGGATTATAGTCCCATTGTGCATGTGTGCAAAGGGTCACACCCTGTTTGTAAAGCAGGGCAGTTTGCGTTGAGAATAATTAGCGTGTGATGCAGACTAATATCTTACTGTTTGTGACTGTTGGATTAAATGACACTAAAACCAGAATAATGACTTGTATCCCTTTCTCTCTCTCTCTCTCTTTGCTGTTTTCAGTAGAGCATGCACCATTTTGAACGTGAATTTTCGGTAAAGTAAGCTATGCTGATTTCTCTCTAACTTTAAAGATGCTCTGTTTCTATTTAAAAAGTAGGATCTGGTACTTCTAGATCACTGAGGTGATGAACATGTGGGAAAACAGATTTGAGGCTATTTTCTTATCTGGACATCTGAATGAAATACAGCATCTTTAAAAAGCACTATGTATTCATTTCATTTCCATCGTGATCTTCAAAAATCTTCATTTTCACTCTGATTTTAGTTGAAAATACAGCTCTAACACCTGCAAATCAACTGCATGGCATTTTGGTGTATTTTAGTTTTGGAAATCATGACTCTCAAAGTCCTGTTGCTGCAAAAATATTAGTCCTAGTCACTGTTGTACAGGAAAAAGTGTTAAGCTCTTAAGTTTTTGCTTATGTGGAGACTGGCTTTTAGCTGATGAGAAAAAAACCAGTTCTTGAGCATTTGTAAAACTTCCTGGGACATGATGGCAGTCCTCATCTACCTGAGGCCAAAGGGAAGGTGGTCGTGGAGATCTGGGGGGCTGCTGGTGTTGGGGCTCACGGCTCTATTTCCTCCTCAAATAGTGGCTAGGTCCGGTGTGGCTCTAGTATGGTCTGGTAACCTCTTGACCTTCCCACTTACACGTGTGGACCCCGAAGGAGCTCAGAGCTATAGAGACCTATATATGGCCTGCTGCTAAAATTGGCCTAAGGACGGAACACCCAGCTGTCCTTCCCAGGAGGGTGTCAAGGATGTTGCGGCATAGTCTTCCTCATTGGATCTAACCTATACTCTGGGCTATAGCAGTCTGCACCCTCTGCCAAGTCCTCCACCAGGGTGCCGGGTTCCCGTTGGATTTGGTGGAAGAGATTTAGGGAGGGGTGGAGTAGTTGGTCTTAGGGACTAAGAACAAGTGTGAAGGGAGAGATCAGGACTGACCAGCCATACCTGTTCATAAGCTGCTTTGGAGCCCCCCCATCCTGGATGTGAATTAGCATGGAAACTGCTCTTGCCAGTGGCCTGGGGATAAGGCCCTTGGAAGCCTCCTGGCAGGAGGAGCTTCCACATTTAGGTGGAGAGAGTACAGGCATTAGGCAGTGGTTCCCAGTTTTGTCATTTGGGCCCTGTATCCCACCCAGCCCTGCCACTGTTATCCCAGTGTATTGTAGCTTAAGTCTCAATAGACCTTTAACAGAAGCTTGTGAACTATTAAAAAAAAAAAAAAAAAAAAAAAAGGAAAGAAGAGGTCCAGGGATGTAGCTCAGTGCCTTACAAGTGCAAGGTCCTGAATTCAATCCCAGTACTGGGAAAAAAACCAAAAACTTAAAAAGACTGCATGTGGTGTGATCCCAGAAGCTGAGGCAGGAGGATCGCCACAAGTTTGAGGCCAGCTTGGGCTACATAACAAATTCAGGGCCAGCCTGAACTACATAGGGAGACCCTGCCTCAAAAAAAGCTACACACACACACACACACACACACACACACACAGAGGCAAATAGAAAGGCCAGAGACAGTAGATGGGGCTTGTAGTCAGAGACCAAGTCCCTGGTGTGTTCTGCTGCCTCCAGTTTTGGCCCTCAGACTCCTTGGCCTCCCCTCCCCTTCCAGAGTGTTTTGCACTAGCATGTTGGGCTTCCGCCTTGCTTGCCCAGATTACACATCGAGCTCTGCCACAGTTTTCCCAGCCCGGTGAGGAAAAGCAGGCCTGATGTCCCCTGGGGGTGGTTGTGCCCTCCGTGAGCAGAGGCGACATCAGGGTGACTGCTGTTTCCCTTGGGCAGCGAGCAGCTGTCCTTTCACGCAGTGCTCAGCATCCATGTGCTAGATAGGCAGAGGCTCAGGCAGCGCATACCCTCTACCTGATTCCCAGAGATTAAGTGGCAAGTCCCGGCCTCTACTCAGAAAATAAAGATCCAACTTCTGAACCCCGCCCACAGCGCCCAAACTCTGGCAGTACGTTTGCACTTTTAATTTCAAGCGCTTGGCAGTGAGAACAAAGCCAGCGGTCGGTTCCCTGTGAGGTCTCATGCTCTCACGCTATGGCGTGGCGCTGCCAAGCCCGAGCCCAGCCCGGGCTGACTCGAGCTCCCCAGTGTCCTGGACTGGAGGAGTAGCAGTCTCTAGACGGCAGCCTGGAGCCTTTGGTAGGACCCCCTGTGCTGCCGCAGCCCAGTCTGTCTTCCCATCCGGAACCCTGCGGGAATTCTCCAGCCTGGGCTCAGAGCGCAAAGCCAAAGCCCGAGGCAGAAACCCTGAGCGTGGTGGTTCCCGCCCGGTTCTGCTGCCCTCTGCTGGCCATCGGGTGGGAGTGCCTGGGGGAGCACAGGTACCCCTCTCCCCAGTGGGCAGGTGAGCTCTTTCTTGGCCCTTGAGTCCTGAGAGCTTCAGCAGGGGCTCCCGCCTCCAGGCGCACTTCACTGCTCACTGCCCAAGGCCTCTGTGGAGCAACGCTGGCATCATGCGCTCATCCTGCCTGGTTTCTTCCCGCAGCACTCACTTCAGGTTTAAAGTAGTTTTTATTTTTATGGCTACAACTCATCCCAGCACAGAACATAACTGTACTTCATTCATTAGTGGTTATGAATAGAGCCAGAGGAAGCTACATTTTGTTCATCTGTCTGTACTCAATCTTCATTTGTATCACTATATTGTCATTTTTTGAGAATTCTAAGGTTGCAGAGCATGTGTGTACATTTGTGTGGTTCTTTAATTTCAGCCACCTTAGGTTGAGGTGAAGGATACAAAGGAAGGTAAGTGGTTTTCTGTGAATTGCAGGACTGGCCTTTGCCCGGCACACTTGGTAGAACGGATATGCACATTCTCGGGCGATCCCCGGCACTGCTGCACTCTGCCTGGTGCTGTCTGTCTTTACCTGCTGTCACCACAGCACAGGGGGTAGCCCGAGGATGGTAGAGGATAGTGACGGCCATGGACAGTGGAGTCTCCCCTGCAGAGATCACAGGGGCTAAGACACTAACCTGCCGCACAGAGTCCTGTGAAGCAGGACTGTCCCTGTACATATTTTGTCCTGACAGAACAATTCACTTACTGATTCAGAAATACAAAGTTCAGGCTGAGGCAAGGGGATCTCAAGTCCAAGCCCCGCCTGGGCAACTTAGAGATGTTTCTCACAGTACAGAAGGGTTGGGGCCAGGCATGGTGGTGTGCTTATAATCCTACCACTCAGGAGGCTTAGGTGGGAGAATCACAGCGAGTTCAAGGCCAGCCTGGGCTGTGTAGTGAGTTCAAGACCAGCCGGAAGTGCATAGCCGGACGCTGTGGAGTGAACGCGTGACTGGGGATGTGGCTCAGTGGCAGAGTGCATGCCTAGCACGCCCAGGGCCCTGGGTTCAATCTCCAGTACTTCCCCCGCAAAAAGCAAATGTCCATGTGCTGGAGCTGAGGGGAGTATGAGATATCTGGTCAGTGCAGTAGGGAAGGCTGCCTAGGACCTAGCTGAAGCACCTGAATTCTTTGGGAACCATCACTACAATTCGGCAATGAGGTCATAGGCTCATGTCACCACGAGGCCTCATGTTATCTGTGGTGTTTATTCCATCTTTTCTCATACGACTGTTACTTGAAAGGAACAACCACCTTCATTTCCCCTTCATTGCTTCTACCTTGTGTCCAGTATTTTAAGGAATGGTACAGTCCTGCGTGTCGGGTCCCTCTGAGAACATCTGCAGTCTAGAGCTCGCCCCCCACCCCAGGCCTGAGCACAGCGGTGTGAGGGTGCTAAGAGGGTGGATGACGACTCTTTCCCGCTTTCCTCACAGGGCCATCTGCATTACCTCCGCTGCCTCCACCCCCGCCTCCACCAGCAGCTCCTCCGCCGCCCGTGGGCACAGAAGCACCTGCACAGCTCTCGCCCCAGCCCCAGGCTATGAACGGTGTGGGCCGAGGGGCCTTGCTCAGCTCCATCCAGAATTTCCAAAAGGGAACTTTGAGAAAAGCCGAAACCTGTGATCACAGTGCTCCTAAGACTGGCTAAGCTTCCTGTTTACACCGGGAGGGAAAAGTCCTTTTTCTGCTCCACTCCCACCCCTGAAGTCCCCTGCGGCTGAATGAGCCCTGGGGAGCCCGCACTGCCACACTGTCCTGCATATGCTCTGGTAAGGGGCTTTCAAGAGGGCAGGGTCCTCCGAGTAGAGCAAGGTTGGGCCAGCACTGCTGCCCTCGGGAGTGTTCTGCTCCTGTTAGCGCTGAAGAGGGGCCCTAGTCATCCTCTAGGGCATCTGGGGGACAGCACAGTACCTGAATCAGTTTCTTTGCCAACTGAAGGAAATAGAAGCAGGGACAGTATTTCATCACAGTAGTGAATGGCCTTTGTGCTGCCACCCTTCCCACCCCATGAGAAACGTTCCTCTCAGCTTATTTCTCCGAAGCACTTCCTGGGTATTCCTTAGATAACTCATTTCTGCTACCTTTATTTTGCCTCAGACGTTAATGCTGTAGCCCAAAGCATAGTTCTGTTGTTGTGTCAGAGAAGCAACCGAGTTCATTTTCCCCAATGGGGGGGGTCCCCAATAGCGTCTAGTTCCATCAGGAATCCCCTTACGACTACGGAACTCAGGGCTTCTGAGAGCAACTTCTCTGGACCCATCCTTTTTACTTAGAATATACTGAGAGACAACAAAATATTATCATTAGACGTTCCTGCTAGTTAACATGTTAAATCCACAGCAGCTGTCAAGTTTGGGGTTTGGGGGTGATCACTATTACCACACAAGTAAATCTGGCAATATAGACATCCATTCTGATATTTGAAAGATTTATCCAAATACATCTTTTTAATGTTACTCATTTATTCGATTTTATCCTATGATTTGCTTAAATTTGAAAATAAACTGCACTTTAAAGGATTATAAATAATCCGTTTTAGAATTCAAATACACACATCAGTGTTGGTTACTATGCAGAATGTCATTGTGTACAGTTTCATGTAATCAATCTGATAAATATTCAGCTGTATTTTTTATCAAAATAAACCATGTCAAGAAACGTTTGTAGGTATCTCAAATGAGAATTTCCCATTGCATCTTTTGTAAACATAAAGATTCATGTAGCAGTTTCCTTCCCTATTGTTTTGTTTTGTGTCATAGTTCCCACGTAAGATATGCTAACAAGCCCGTCTTGTATGATTTTGTGTTTCATTTAAACCTATCTTTTCTCTCAGTCGAAGAGGACAGTATATAACAATGCCTTTGGTGATGGGAAGAATAAAATGTGTTCATTTTAAAGGGAATTGTGTTAGAACTAGGGCACACAAGGAGCAGGGTAAAGTTCTCATCCCGAGTGTGACGCGGTCTCGGAGATGGGTTCCTGGGGGAAGTCGTGGGCCTGAGTCTCGAAGCCAGCGCTGCAATTTTAGATAAAAGTTTCACATACGTGAATAAAAACAACCAGGGAAGGACTGGGACTGTAGCTCAGTGGTAGAAGGCTACCTGACATGTGTAAGGAAGGCCCTGGATTTAATCACCAGCACCACCACCAAAAAAAAAAAAAATTGTTTATATATGATCACCTTATTTTCCATTTGACCCTAATTTCTCAATAGAATTTTAAGACTTCTGCCCACATTTATTATTTCATGAACATAGAAGTTACTCAGAGTTATGAATTTCTTTATTTTTTATCAAAACACTCAACAGTAAATTTTTACAGTGTCTTTTATATATAAGTTACCTTCTGGCCATATCTTTCATTGGGATCCTACACATTCATGTTTTGTTCCCTCACATCAATCTTATTCAAAGAACGGGGCAACTGTAACAGACAAAGAAAGCATGGAGTCTGTGCAGGAGTGTGGAGTTTTCCACTCAAACATTCTTAAACTTTTACCAGTCTAAAAATGCCTATCGATGCCTTACAAGTTACTCTAGGAGCAGTAAGATCTTGCAGTCCAATCCAGGTGAAGTCCCAGCAAGTATTTTAAATAAATTTCAATGACTTGATGTTCAAGCCTGTACTAGATATTTAATGTTTTCTTTATAGCAAATATGATGTCTTTGACCTGAGGTACAGAGTTGTCTTCTAGAATCTTTGCATAAGGCATAGGGACATCAGCACCAGTGACACGAACAGCAGGAGCATCCAAGAAATTGAATGCAGGACCTAGAAGAGAAGGAAGGCTCATGTGAGAGGGGCAGAAAGAGCCAGCTGAACCTCAGCACCTTGGCAAGGTACCCAGGAAGAGAAAAACATATGGTAAAGAAATTCTAGTCATGGGGATCCGTTTCTGGGTTTGTTTTTTAAATCCTTCACTGAAAGGAGAAAAGGTCAGCCTGACAAGTCAAAAGATGAAAGTCAACTGACCACCCTAACTTTGAGTCTCTTTATCCAGTATGTGTTCAGGTACATGATGTCTATTAAAGCTTGACCGTATTCTAGAAGCAGTTTCTTTGAAATACCTTCCATGATCCTGGCACAAATTTCAGCTCCCACTCCAAACTGTGGCCAACCTCCTTCCACAGTTACAAGATGGTTAGTCTTCATGACACTGGCTTCTATGGTTTCGATGTCCATTGGTCTAATAGTACGCAAATTTATCACCTGAACAGAAAATAAAATAAGCTTTAGAGAACCACTGCATTCCAAGACCGCCTTGACTCACAATACCACGTCTCCCTGGCCTTATTATACCGTTTTCTTGTTTCTCAGCAATCTTTGGGTGTAGGAAAATCTAAGGTGCCCACTGACAGGCACATGAGTCTACAAAATATAAAAGGAGAAACTATTTAAAACAATAATCTATCTCTACTATAAGCAACTCTGTTCCTTAAAAGGATTCACTTGTCCCTCCTGGCTTTGACTTCCCTCTTATCAAACATAAATGAGCCAAGAGTTGAGTGCTTAGTGTGTACCGGGTGCTTCACTAAGTGTAACCCTCACAGCTGCTCCATTTATATTATCCTTTCTCACTGACGAGACTGAGCATCAGAGTGCCCAACTTGTCCAAGTATAACTAGCAACTGGTAGGACCTATTCAGAAGATTAGAATCACTATTTTTTTGTGGTACCAGGGACTGGACCCAGGCCTCATTCCCAGGCCATTTTTATTTTTAGACGTTACCTCACTAAGTTACCCAGGTTGGTCTCAAACTTGCAATTCCCCTGCCTCAGTCTCCCAAAGTACTGGGATTATAGGTCCGCACAAGCACATCTAACTACAGCCACTGACTCTGAGTTTCCCTGAGGTCCTGCTCCAATGCTGAATCTTAACTTGAGAAAATAGGTATGATTCTAAAAGATCTAAAACTGAAGTGGTAAAAAACTAAGAAAAGGCTGGGAAAAGCCTCCCCAGTTTTCACCTTTAAGCACGGTTTTACATCCAGGTAAAGTGTCATGAGCAGGGTATGGCGGCACACACCTGTAATCCCAGCACTTGGGGGCCGAGAGGAAGAGCGCTGCTGGGAGTTCGAGGCCAGTGAGACCCTGCCTCAAAAAGAAAAAAAACAAAGGGACCAGAGATGTTGCTCAGTGGCACAGTGCCTGCCTAGCAAGCGTGAGGTCCTGAGTCCTACCCCTAGTACCAAAAAGCAAAACAAAACAGATACCCCACTGGTAAGGAACTCCCTATTTCTGGGTCTTACTTTTAAAAAGGCCTTTCTGATTAAGATCCAGCGAAAAGTCCACTTACCTCACATTCGACTCCTTCTTTAGACAGCACTGTCGCAGCTTCTAAGCAATGGCCCACAGGTCTCGAGTGGGAAACCACAGTTATATGTGTCCCTGAAAACAAGAGGTCACAGATCAAAGGTCAGGGCTGAAACTAAAGAGGCAACACCGCTCTGAAGCCAGCTGTGGCTCCCCGCCTAGAAGTGAAGTTCCAATCTGCTGGATCGAGATGAACCTGTGACCCTCCTGCCTCTCTTCTGGGATCACAGGCATTCTCGGGCGTGCCCGACTAAGCCTGATTTCCACGTGCCGAACGTGAGCTCAAGCTTTAACTTTGGTCAAAGTAAATGGCTGTAACTTCCAGGTTAAATGTGACCTATATAAATAGAAGAGCTGGATTTAAAGTAATACCTAAATGTACGCGAAAGCTCTCTTACCTTGCCTTTCTATTTTGGCTTTTCCAATCGGAATCAGAAAATCTTTTGACTGAGCTTCTGCAGGAAATTCAAAAGCAACTCCATACATCAGTTCATTCTCTAGCATCACCACTGCAAAATAAGCACATACAGAATTGTCTAAAATCACATACTACAACGTCTCACTCGTGAAGTCTGTGTGTGTATTGGGAAGCCTCCTACCCACCACAGCCAGTAGCCGAAGGCTGTGCCGCTCAGTGTGGGCGCACGTACGGCCCGAGTGTTGCAGTCCACTGTTTGTCATCACTGGAAGCTCTAAAAGCCGCCATCACTGATTTAGGTGCTGAGATTCTGTAGTTTCACTGGTTTAACATTAGCCAGTGTTGTAGGCGTCAGTAAGTGCATCCTTTGGCTAAGTGGTGTTGGTATAGTCAGAAATAAGAAAAACCACCACATTCTTTCCTGACTTTACTGTATCTGTGTATCATCAACATTCTGTTTGTCCAGACCTCCTAGAAGCCTACTGTGCCTCCTTCTGTGCAATGGTATTATTTTACTTTTTATGCTCAATCTGCTGACCTGGATTGTTATCCCGAATGGCTGACTTAATAAGTCCTTTCGCGTCCTCTGCATTCCAGGGGCTGACCACCTTCAAGCCTGGGCAGTGCCCATACCATGCAGCAAAGCACTGTGAGTGCTGGGCAGCTACACCTGCTGAGGCGCCATTGGGCCCCCTGAACACGATGGGCACAGGCTGGAGGCCCGCTGACATGTAGTAGGTCTTGGCAGCTGAGTTTATCACTTGGTCAATGGCTTGCATAGAGAAATTGAAGGTCATAAATTCACAAATGGGCCGCAACCCAGCCTGTCAAATAAAAAACAGACGTTAAAAAAAAACTAGACACAGAAACAAAAAGAGTGACCAGTAACCAATCCATTCCTCCAAAATTCAATGTTTTGTTTTTTGAGTTTTTTTGGTTTTTTTTTAACGTTCAATGTTTTTAAAAGGTCCTATTAAAAGAAATTTCTTCATAAAGAATATTACATACCATAGCTGCACCTACAGCAATGCCAGCAAAGCCCATCTATAAAGTAAAAAGCATGAGTGAAAATCCGCAAAAATTAGGACTGTTAACACTAACGGAGATGCTCGTCCAGGTTCTGCTTCCTGCTGTAAAGCTTACCTCAGATATGGGAGTGTCTATGATCCTCTTGTCCCCGTACTTCTTCCACAGGCCCCGACTAACCTACAATTGAGAGGGGACCCCATTATTTTCAAGCATATGTCAGAGCAAATGGCCACCCCAATTGTGTATAACTTTCACCTATTTTCGTTACCTTGTATGCCCCATCGTATTGGGCAACTTCTTCCCCAAGCAGAAACACCCTCTCATCTCTCTCCAGTTCCTCATCCATACCTTGATTAATAGCATCACGAACGGTTACCTGTCACAGGTAAGTGAAAATAGTCAATAAGCTACAGGATTATTTAGGTCTTCTTTTACACATGCCTAGGTTGTCCACAGCATAAAACATGCAAACTAGTACTAAATCAGACTTCTTTTTAAAATTCCAAGAATCTAAAAGTAACCTTTTTTTTTTTGGTACTGGGAATCAAACTCAGGCCCTTGTGCTTGTGAGGCAGGCGGTGGCACAGAGCTAAATCCCTGGCCTAAAAGTAACATTTCTTTCACACAGTCTTTGGATTACTGATAAGCTTACCGAACATCTCTCTTGAAGTGTACCCAAGCTTACTAAAACTGTTTCTGGGCCACATTAGCTCACAGGCAGTTTCCTAGGCAGAAAATGTACTGGACTGTTTTATTAATGCACTTGGCGTACTAAAGGGCAAAGAAGAAAGCCTAAGTTTTAAAAAATATTATAAAAATAGTTTATTTTAAAGACTTTCAACAGGACTTCACATCTCATTTTCAGATTTTTAAGGCTAAGTACTCAGTACTCACTAGGTGCATGCAGAACACTTTGCATTCAGGATGCTGGAGCTATTATTTTAATAAATAGAATAGTAAAACCCTCTAGTAAAGTATCTGTAGGTGGTGGTGATAGGAGGGGAACAACGACCCTGTGATCCAGCAATTCTGGCAGAAGGACTGTACGCAGGGACTCAAACATACACCTGCACACACATGCGCACAGCAACATTATTCACTAATCCTAAAGGTAGCAGCTACCCAAATGTCCCTCCTTGGATGAGTGGGTAAACAAAATGTGGAACGTACCTACACTGGAAGCCATACAGCCTTTCAAAGGAAACACATTCTGACGCACACTACAACCTAAGGGAACCCTGAAGACACCGTGCTAGTGAAACGAGCCAGCCACAAAGGACAGCTGCTCCATTTATATGAGGTTCTACAATATGTAAACTCAGCGAAGTGTGGCAGAGGTTGCCGGGGACTGGGGGAAGGAAGTGAGGTATTATTGTGTAATCTAAGTCCAGTTTGCGATGAGGAAAAAGAACTGGAAACGGACAGTGGTGATAGCTGCATATGGTGAATGTACCTGACGCCACTGAATTAAACTCTTGAAAACGGTAAGTTTTACGATACACACACAGGGCCAGGATTTAGGAGGGGAGGGGGTCGGAAGCGGCCAGTTTTGCTCGACTGCTCCCGAGCGCAGCTCGCTGGGCCGATGGGCCAAGCCAGGCGG